GTCCGGAGAGAACAGTCGCTGGAGAAGGATGTCATGCTGGGTAAGGTGGAGGGTCAGAGAAAAAGAGGAAGACCCCCAACGAGTTGGATCAGCCAGGTGACATCATTTATGGCGTCAAGTGTGGCGGCGGTAGTGAGGTTGGCCCAGGATCGGACATTGTTTCGTTCTGCTATGCATAGGGTCACTATGAGTCGGTTCTGACTCGATGGCACCTGACAACAACAACCACCACCACAAGTCGGCATTTCAAACCCACCAACTACTCCTTAGAAACCCTATACAGGGTCAGTTTAAGTTGAAACCAACTCGACTGCACACAGCAACAACGTGAGTGAGATCTTTTTAAAATCATGTTCTACAAATGACATCATACTTAATGCAAAATAAAGAACAGAGTTCATTTTTTATAGTACTGCTGCTGCTGTGTGCCATTGAGTAGGTTCCGACTCACAGTGACCCTGTAGAGTGTTTCCGAGGCTGTAAATCCTTTCAGAAAAGAAAGCTTCATCCGTCTTCAGGGGCGCAGCTGGTGGATTCAAACTGCTGACCTTACAGTTAGCAGCCCATCACATAACCCACTACACTACCAGGGCTCCTGTTAAAGTACACTAGCCGTGAGGCCTGGTATAACACCAAAGGATGCACACTGGACAGCACGTAGGATAACCACAAATCCACCAGCTCCTTAGAAACCCTATACATGGTCGCTATGACTTGGAAGCGACTCTATGGCATGTAACTAACAACAGCAGCAACAAAAGACAAGGGGCTCTGATGGTGTCGTGGGCTACAGAAAGATGAGGCTTTCTGCTCCCACAAAGATTTAAAACTTCGGAAACTCTACACAGGGTCGCCAAGAGTCAGAACCGACTCAACGGCACACAACCACCACTGAATAAACCACAGAGATGAAAATTGGGTTTAAGGAAAGCAGCGATATTTTTCCTACGCTGTCAAGTTTAAACTTTCGAAAGCTTAGAAACGTTTTAAACCCTTTCTAGAATTCGAAGTCGTTTTTCAAACCGTGAAGTAACTAGCCGATCAGTTGTATAAGTCCCACTTCTAGGGCCAGTCCCTTCATTCGTTTTGGGGCAGGTCTGCACAGCAGAGGACAAGTGACAGCTCACGCAGAAGCCACAGGTTGCTGGGAACTTTCCCTCCTCTCTTGAGAGACTTAGAAGCCTAGGCCGGCCGCTACAAGGCGCGCTTGCACGCATGCCCGGACCCGACGCAGCCTCTCCGGAGTGGCCCGTCGTGTTACGTCACTGCCAGTTTGCTGGGCGGCAACCGGCGGGAGTTTTTCAAAATGGGAGCGCTGAGTCTCCGCCTAGGCCTCGGAAAGTGTCCGGGAGACCTTTCGGTGGCTGTGCTGTCGTCGCCGGGAGCGGCGGCCTAGAGAGCCGAACCTGATGGGCGCCAAGACCCGCTGGCTGCTTGGAGCGCTGCCTCGAAGGGTCTGCGTGAAGGGAGCTAATCCGAGGAGTACAAGCCGGGGACTAGAAATATGGCGACCTGCATCGGGGAGAAGATCGAGGTGATAAAACTCGGCAGACTGCCGCGGGGTGGGTGGGAGTCGGAGTGGCAGGATTCATTGACCACTTCGAGAAGGAGATCAGGCGACGCTAACGGCTGGGGGCGGAAGCCTAGGTGCTTTGGGTAGGTCCCAATTCTCTGGGCCTAGCCAGGACCCTTGGGGCGTGCCCAGCTGTCGGGGGCGGAGCGGCACTCCCCCCGGGGACACCCTCCGGTCCCAGCCCGGAGGCTAGCTAGGTGTCTGTGGTCCCGCCGGACCGACCGCGCTAGGAAGAGGCGAGGCTACCACCCGCTTCTCTAAGGGGCTGGCGGTTACCTCCGGCGGGCATTGTGGCGGGATGCTGACCCGGCTCAGGTTGCCATGGGATATACTAAAGTACTTTTATAACTGGGTGGGAGGAGGTCTGTGAGCCTGCACTAGGTTTGAGGTACCAGATCATTAGTCGGCTGTATCTTGAGCCTGACTTGGAGGCTCAGGGAGTCCTGCAAGGAGGCAACATGTCCCCCACCTTAGGCACCTGCAGTATTGAGGTGTGATACCTGCTTATATTTTGTCATACTCCCCATCTCAATCCGTTTGGTTTTTCCCCAGAACCTAGTGTTTTTTTTTTTTCCTTTCTACTCCCGTGAGTGAGTAGTAATCTTTCATTTTAACTTTTAAAGGATTTTAAAGTTGGAAATCTGCTCGGTAAGGGATCATTTGCTGGTGTCTACAGGGCTGAGTCCATTCACACTGGTTTGGAAGTTGCAATTAAAATGGTAAGTATATATTAAGATATGTGCTATTTGAGATGTCAGAAATTCCTTTCCTATCAGTCTTTCTTGGGTGAAACCCACTGCTTAGACAAAAGACAACAGAACCAAGTCCACCAGTTGAGATTAAGGACATTTTAGGAGAGCTGGACCTTACTTAAGTTAGTTAATAGTATGTATAAACTTCATTAAGACTTGGTATCTGGTATAACTGTAATAATTGGAAGAAACAAAGAACAAATGATAATTAAGTTCTATACTGTGCACTTTAATAGTTTTAACCCAAAATAACTCTTTTTGATTATGAGAAGTATATCTATTAGGAATAACAAACTTAAGCAAACTGAGATTTATCTAAACCAGTCAGGAAAAGGAAAGGAAGTTTTGTTTTAATGTTTGGCTAACATTGTTTTGTTTTGTTCTTAGATATAGGATGTTGTTAAGTGCCATAGAATTGTTTTCTATTTATAGTGACCCTGTATAGGATTTCCAAGGCTTTAAATCTTCACGAGAACAGAAGACTTCTTCTTTTCGGTAGAGATAGGATAGTGTGCTAGTAAATTTTTTGTTTGATGAGGTTATTATTAGAATGCGTTGGGGGAACTTTTACTGAGATTCTACTTTATTAAGTCCTCTGCTAGGTGCATGGGGAAGATAAACAATAACTTGGCCTCATTAAGAAATAGATAAAAGTACTTGAGACTGACATTTTAAAGTATTTCTTTTTAATATAGTGACTTTTTGAAAAGTTAATAATTGGAGTGAAACATCTCAGAACCAGAACTGGAGAAGACTGCCTTGTTTTTCTGGATCTTGCAAATTTTCTGTCTTTGATAGGGTCACTGTTAAGCACTTTTGCAGGTTATATTGTATTTTGTTACGCATTTCATCCTGATGGAAACCCTGTGAAAGAAGCATTCTCTCCATTTTACAGATTAGGTAATTTAGGTTTCGAGAAATTAAGTTACTTGCCTAGGAACAGACATGTATTAGTGCCATATCCTGAACAGTAAAGTCCATCTGACAGTAAAGTCATATCTGACAATAAAGTCCATGTTGTTTTTTTGTTTTTATTTGTTATACCCTGATACTTCTGACCTGTTATCTATATTGATTCCACATACAATTTATAGTTCAGTGTTCTGGAGATATAAAACAAATGAGCAGGTCTCTAACTTCTTTGGACTTCATTTTTCCATCTGTAAAGATTGGTATTTTCAAAACTTCTCTGTAGATCAGCTATTGATACTTCTCTGTAGATTAGCTATTGGTCTCTTCCTACATGGAGCAAAGGAAAATGAGGAAAACCAAAAACTTAAGAAGCAATTAATATATAGAACTAATGACCCACATAAAACACAGCCTCCTTTATCCTGAGACCAGAAGAACTAGATAGAGCCTGGCTACCATAAAAACCTCTTTGACTAGTGATATAGTAAAAGCCCAGGTTAGAATGAGAGGGAAATGTAGAATCAGGCTCAAATTCCTAAAAATGAGACACACTGTAGTGATAGAAGAATCCCTGAGAATATCTCCACTGCTGTTGGTAAGTGCTGTTGAGTCGGGTTCTGATCCATAGTGACCCTGTATAGGGTTTCAGCTGGTAAGCTTGAACCATTGACCTTGCGGTTCAGACAGACTTTGCAGTCCAGCACATTAACCTACAGTGCCACATCAGGACTCCTGAGATCACATTAAAGCCAAATAATAGATTGGCATCTAAAATGAGCAATAACACTGTGAGTAATGTGCTCCTTAGAACAATTAACTACACAAGATTAAACTAGGTAACATTTTATCAAAAGCACAGAAGACATGGAGGAGCAGGGAGACTGAAGGGATAGAAACAGATGGCAGGGTAGAAATAGGGAGAGCACTGACATAGTGCGGGGATGGTCACCCACGCCACCAAACAAAATGCATGTATAAGTTATTGAATGGAAAACTAATTTGCAGTGTAAATAAACTTTCACCTAAAGCACAATAAAGTATATTTCAAAAAATCAACAAAACTTTTTTTGTAGAACCTTTAAGCTACAAAGAACCTCTTAGGTATCACAAAGGGTGAGAAAAGCAGTGGGGAGGGGATTCAGAGAGGACATAGTAGGACCCCAGGGCTTCTACCTCCACTTAAAACAAAATTCTTCTTATTTCCTGTTATATTCATTGGACTTCCAGGGTAAGATTTTTTAAATTAAATATTTAGATGTTGTTTTTAAGTGTTGTTGAGTTAGTTTCCACTCAGTGATCCTGTATAGGGTTTCCGAGGAGTGACTGGTAGGTTTGAACTGCCAATCTTATGGTTATCAGTCCAGTGCTTATCCTTCATTGCCACACCAGGACTCCATATAGATAGGTAGATAGATAGGCAAAGTGCATATTAATGCCACTGAATTAGGTTCTTAAAAGTAGTTAAAAATTGAATGTTATCTATACAGATAAAACACATACACACAAAAAAATTCCATTTTAACTATGTAGGTAAAATACATTTGGTGGTGGTGGTGGCAGTGGTGGTGTTTGTATGCCACCAAGTGGGTTCCAATTCATAAGTGACCATGTATAGGGTTTCTAAGGCTGTAAATCTTTACAGGAGCAGAAAGCCTCATCTTTTTCCTGCAGAGTGACTGGTAGTTTCAAGCTGCTGACCTTGCAGTTAGCAGCCCAATTTATAATCCACTGTGCGCTACTAGGGCTCCTTATAACAAGAAAAAAATGCATTTTAACTTTTCAAGTATATAATTTAGTGGCATTAATTCTCAGTGTTGTACAACCGTCACCGCTGCTTATTTTCAAAACGTTTTCATCACCCCAAATAGAAACTCTCCAGCACCTGTTAGCCACTAATATGTCTCTATACATTTGCCTGGTCTGGGTATTTCATATAAGTGAGATTATACAATATTTGCCCTTTTATGTTTGACTTATTTCACATATGTTTTCAAGGTACTTACATGCCAGTGTCAGAACTTCATTTCTTGTTATAGCTGAAGAATAATTCCTTATATATGTCGCTAAGTGCTGTCGAGTCAGTTCAGACCCGTAGTGACCTTGTATAGGGTTTCTGAGGAACAGCTGGTGAGTTTGAACTGAGTACCTTATGGTTCAAACCAACTTTACAGTCCAGTGCATTAACCCACAGCACTTCACCAGGACTCCTCCATGTTTATTTATTTTTATATATGACACTTAAGAATAATTAACTTCTTTTGGCTTTTATGAGTAATGTTGCCATGAACATTAATGCACACATACCTGATTTCAAGTCTGATTGTGTACTGTAGAGTGGAATTTCTGGATCATATGGTGAACATTGACTTGACAATTTTACTTTTAAAAGTTTATCTTCAACATTTAAATCCCTCATCTGGTATTTTTAGATCGACAAGAAAGCCATGTACAGAGCTGGAATGGTACAGAGAGTCCAAAATGAGGTGAAAATACATTGCCAATTGAAACATCCTTCTATCTTGGAGGTAAGAGACATATTCATAGAAGTTTCCAGGGTGACTGAATTATTTTGGGTGACTGAATTGTTTTGTGTATTATCATTTATTTTGTACTTTTACGTTGCAGCTTTATAACTATTTTGAAGATAGCAATTATGTATACCTGGTATTAGAGATGTGCCATAATGGAGAAATGAACAGGTATCTAAAGAACAGAATGAAACCCTTCTCAGAAAACGAAGGTATGCTTTTATATATTTTATATATATATATATATATGGAGTCCTGCTATGGCACTGTGGATTAATGCGCTAGACTGCAAAGTCAGTTTGAACTGCAAGGTTTGTGGTTCAGGCTCACCAGTTGCTCCTTGGAAACCCTCTAGAGGGTCGCAACGGGTCGGAACCAACTCATCGGCATTTAACAACAGCATACATATATATGTCACATTTATATATATAAAATACTAAATTCCAATTTGCACACAGTTCAATTTGTTGCCTCTATTCAGTTCTACCATTCTGTTTATTCTTATTTTAATTATTACAGCTTTCTAAATCTGCTTATAATTAGTAGGAACCTTAGCTGTCAGTTTGCTGTACTTTGGTGGTTTACGTGTTGCTGTGATGCTGGAAGCTATGCCACCAGTATTTTAATACCAACAGGGTCACCTATGGGGATAGATTTGAACTGAGTTTCCAGACTGAAACAGACTGGGAAGAAGAGGTAGACTATTTCCTAATATTTAGCCACTGAAAACCTTGTGAATAGCCTTGGGACACTGTCAGATAGCACCAGAATATTGAGACATGATGAATAGCACCAGAATATTATCAAATGTAGTGCCAAAAGATGAGCCCCTCCTATTGGAAGGCGCTCAAAATAAGTACAGTGGCAGCATCAATGGACTCCAGTATAACAACAATTGTGAGGCTGGCACAGGACCAGGCAGTGTTTCTTTGTGTTGTTCATAAGGTCACTATGAGTCAGATCCGACACCTACCAGCAACAACAACAGTATTTGAAAAAGACAGAATTTCAAGTCCGAGGGTGGAATAAATAACTGTCAGATGGTTAAAATCATTTGGGAAAACATAAAACTAGTGTTGTTTCACACTATTTACTTGATTAAATTCCTGATAGATTTAGAGAGATAAATGTAAAAAAAACAAAGTGAAATTTTTCAGAGAATTATTTAGCACCTACTAGGTGCCAGTTGTAGCGCAGTGGTTACGAATCGGGCTGCGAACCTTAAGGTCAGCGGTTCGAAACTACAAGCCACTCCGCGGGAGAAAGATGAGGCTTTCTACTCC